TGAAAGGCGATCAGTGTTGGTGAACGGGGATTCGAACCCGCGACCCTCAGATTGCGAGTCAAGCGCCTAATCTCCTGGCCATGCGGGCCTAACTTTTAACTGATAGACTAAAGGGAAGGCAGCTAGTCAACAGCAACTACCGCCAACTCTTGGGATACTATAAGTGTATTGAAATTTGACTGCCATTTTTATAACGCATCCATGGCCCCAAAGTGCGAACCATGGGCCCTCGGATTCACAGTCCGGCACGCTAGCCAGTAGGCCACGTCCGGCCCATTTTAAAGAATATTTTATAATTATCAGAAAGCGAGGAAATTTATGTTTCGTACTTGGGTTTGAGAAAATTATGTTTATGTTGTTGTTGTTGTGTTTTTTTTTTCAGAAAACAAAGAGAAGTGTATCCTTTATTTGACCTTGAGCCTGGGCGCTGGACTTCTGGTGTTTCTTTCAGTTCTGGCGTTTCGACTTTATATTCAAAAGAAGCGAGAGAGAAAAAGAGCAGATTTAAACATTTCGGAACCTCTGCCAAGTGCATTCGTCGAAGACAGCTCAGACCTCGACCATTTTGACACAAGCGACAGACCAGATAACAATATAGAAGTGGTCAGGTTTACCAGCAGGTCTACCATGAGACGACAAGACAGTGACACCCACCCCCGTGCCCCCGTGTCTCGGAACATGACCAGCTATGACTATTATAGTTAGAGATCTGTGAACAAACGACTCATTTTCCAAAAATTTCATATTGTTGTCCCCCCCCCCCTCATAGTACCCCTAGGTTTGTCCTAACCTAAAAGAGCAGTTTGCTCATTTACTCACTATGAAAGTCAGATCTCTGATTACGAGTGAGAAAAGTGCATCTGTCTTCATAACATTGAATGCTGGGAATCCGTCAGGGAAGAAGATGAACTTGTAATGTAAAGTGTATACTGTGATCAGCGTGTTCGGAAAAAGAGACCCAGTAAAAATGATCTTTACGTGTTACACTATTAACTTACGACAGCTTTCAATAATTATTTAACATATCAGTATAAACGATAATCTTGTCTCCTATACAGGTGTTTCGTAAAGCCAAATTCCACTCGGGTGTGGAAAATGTGAGGTTGTAGGTGTTTTATGTGTTGTATATGTGCAATACAGGGTAAGAGAAAGTACCATTTTTTTTTTTTTTTCAAAGGTGTACAAAATCAATAATCACTTCCAATATCGTCAGATAACGTGACTACGCAGGCGAAGTTAGGCTTAGTGGAGCGACTGGTGGCGACCTCTGGGTTAAAAATATATATATATAATCATAGTAAAGTAGTTATGTCTTACTGTGTAAATACTGTCCATTGATCACAAACCTTATATTTTCTGCCTGTTATATGAACTTGAATCTGAGTAAATAATTTATTATTTTATTGCACTCCCTTTTTTAATACAATAATTGTTTGTTAATAGCCAAAAGATAAGCAAGTTATTCGTTATCAGGAAACTTTCAGCTTTGTTGTTGAACTGAGAAGTAAAAAGATGATTCGTTATTAATTATAGGTATATTTATATGTTTTTTACTACAAATATAGGTTCACGAACTGATTTTCAAGTCTGTATTCTTTGTATACACATACTTTTTATGTGTCTTTTATATTAAAAAACAAAATATTAAATACTTTGAATAATTTAACTTTGAACTTTTATAATAGTTAATTCATTTGAAAATTACATCAACAATCCGATACCCGTAAAAAAGGGCAGAAACCGTGTTAGAGTTAACAATCAGTCAACATAGATGAACTGAGTTAACAATCAGTCAACATTTTTAGTTTAGACTGTGCTATAGATTTTGTTCATTCTGAATGTTTTGAAATCTTTGTGAATTTATGTAATCTTTAGCTCAGCCTTTATCCTTAAAAAAAATCCTATTATAGTATTTATTTTGTCTTTTTTATAAGATTAGAAGGTGTAATATAACCATTAAATTAGCAACCTCCAGCCCCTCATTTGAATAAATTTTAAGTAAAGTTTTTTAAAAGAAAGGCTTAAGTGACTGTAATAATATATGACTGACACATAACCCTCCATTTTAAGAATTTTCGTTCAAGATTGCTTAGTTATGTTTTTGTGGTTTATGTATATTTATAAATAAATACTTAAATATAACACGCGTAAATGTGTGAACAAGAAACCCTGATCTCCAGTTTTACAGTAATCGGGTGAGTTTATTCGCATGTTCTATTTTCGTTATTATTATTATTTTAACATCAAGATCGTATCATTTCAAGTTTTAAGGTAAGAGATAAAAACAAAGGGTTATTTTTTAGAAAGTTTATTAATCTTAGAAGTAATTTTTAAAACCATATTCCAATTTCGAGTTAATGTCATTTCCTAACTTATCTCTTCGGTATTGCCTGATACAAGATATGATTGTTGCTGTAAACATATTTATGGAAACTTTCTAATCCAGTAAACTGTAGAGAATGTAGAGTATTCTAGGTGTAACAGTTATATCTTTTCTTACCGTTTGAGATACTGGTGTTTCTTCATGGATTTGTAAAGAAAATATTAAAGTTATTGGTACAGTTAAAAAACTCGTCAAATGTTTCTGCCTGATTGTATTTTTGTTATTCTTTTCTTAAGGATATAATGTAACACTATGTTCGTATTATACAAATCACATTTAACTATTTTCTTTCATTAGGCTTAATCGTACAACCATTGTTACGTAATTACATTTAGTTGGTATCGCATTTAACTATTCTCTTTCATTGGACTTAATCGTACAACCATTGTTACGTAATTACATTCTATTGGTATCGCATTTAACCATTTTCTTTCATTAGGCTTAATCGTACAACCATTGTTACGTAATTACATTCTATTGATAACGCATTTAACCATTTTCTTTCATTAGGCTTAATCGTACAACCATTGTTACGTAATTACATTCTATTGATAACGCATTTAACCATTTTCTTTCATTAGGCTTAATCGAAGGATCATTTTTCCGTAATTCAATTCTATTGGTATCGCATTTAACTATTTTCTTTCATTAGGCTTAATCGAAGGACCATTGTTATGTAATTACATTCTGTTGTTTTAATAGCTGCGAACAATATGCGTTTTTGTGGATCTAGTGCTTTTAGAGTTGTTACTACCGAGAACTTAATTATTCATCATGGTAGGAAAACGCGCAGGTTCAAAAATAAATTGAACACAAAAATACAAAACCCGAGCACTTGCATGTCCCAAGCAGTTATATAGACAGTTTTCGATTATTCTGCGTTTTTCACGCTTTTTATGGTGTCAGAATTGGTCATGTTGAGCTTGTGTATGGGGGAGAATGTTTGTTTCTTGAATTATCATATTTTTTATGAAAAAATAATAATTAGTGCTGTTTAGGAAATCTGGGACGAAAACAGAACGTTAGAAATTTATAGTTAATTTCATAATAAAATTGTATGACGTCAGCCTTCTGATAAAAGTCCCTATTGTTTACGTAATGTTCCTCTATCTAGTATACAGAGACTCGGAGGAAGTAGAAAGTTTGTCTTAGCAACAACAAAAAAATATTTCAGTTTACATTGTAAATAAGTAACGAAATTATATCTAATGTTAATTAGAATATTATATACTAACTGGAGTACCCGTCCCCTGGTCGGAAGTTATGTAACTTCATGATCAGTTATCTTCGAACGTGAAAAGTTGCTTCCCTTATGTGTAATTGTAAAAAATATACAAAAACGTCCATAACAACTGCAAAACACAAAATATGAAATCGTAAGTTTGCATGTATCTCTGCATGGACCGAACAAACCTTCATGCCAAATTTGGTGAAAATTCATCAACAGGAGGCGAAGTAGTGGTAAAAAACGTCCATAAAAACTGCAAAACACAAAATATGAAATCGTAAGTTTGCATGTATCTCTGCATGGACCCAACAAACCTTCATGCCAAATTTGGTGAAAATTCATCAACAGGAGGCGAAGTAGTGGTAAAAAA